TGTTGAAGATGTACTTGTCCAAGTGGACAATTTTATCTTCCCCATTGACTTCATTGTTCTAGATACTCAGCCAGTAATGCATTCAGAGAACCAAATTCCCGTTATCCTTGTTCGACCATTCCTAGCAACCTCCAATGCATTAATCAATTATAGGAATGGAGTCATGAAATTAAATTTTGGGAATATGAATCTTGAGCTGAATATTTTTAATATTGCCAAACATCTTGGAGAGAATAATGAAGTGAGAGAAATAAATTCCATTGAGCCGTTGGTTCAGGAACATCTGAATAACACATTTTGTGAAAACCCTACTGAATCTTCTTTGTCAGAATCTATCACATTTGAGACAACAAATGATGATCCAAAGAATTGCCCCACTCATGCTGTTGAGACATGGGCCCTAAATTCGAGGAACTTTCACCAAGTGGCACAAAGCCACTCTCATCAAGTGTCAGGCCACCAAAGCCTGAATTAAAACCTCTCCCATCTGACCTCAAATATGCATTCTTGGGAGAGGATGAGTCATACCTAGTGGTAATTTCATCTAAGCTCATGGACTTACAAGAGCCTAACCTAATTAAAGTTCTGAAATCCATAAAAGTACCATTGGGTAGACCATCTCTGATTTGAAAGGTATAAGCCCGTTAATCAAAAATCATGCTATATACCTCGAAGAGGATTCAAAACTCTCTTGTCAAATATAGTGACGATTGAACCCTCACATGAAGGAAGTGGTAAGAATGGAGGTACTCAAACTCTTAGATGCAGGGATAATCTTTCCCATCTCTGATAGCAAATGAGTTAGTCCAAACCAAGTTGTGCCCAAAAAGTCTAGGGTCACAGTGGTAAAAAATGATGCCAATGAACTAGTACCAACTCGAGTCGTCACAGGATGACAAATTTGCATAGACTATCGCAAAATTAATTTGGTAACTAGGAAAGACCACTTCTCTTTTCCCTTTCTTGACCAGGTTCTTGAGAGAATTGTAGGCCATGAATTTTATTGTTTCTTAGATGGATATTTTGAGTACAATCAAATTGAGATAACACTAGATGACCAGGAGAAAATCACATTCACATGCCCCTTTGGCACCTTTGCATTCAAAAGAATACCATTTGGGATTTGTAACGCTCCTGCAACATTTCAAAGATGCATGCTGAGCTTATTCAGTGACATGGTGGAGAAATTTTTGAAAGTGTTCATGGATGACTTCTTTGTATATGGTGATTCGTTCGATTTGTGTCTGGCCAACCTAGAGAAGGTATTGGTAAGATGTCAAGAAACCAATATGGTACTCAATTGGGAGAAATATCATTTCATGGTAATACAAGGCATTGTCCTAGGTCACATTGTATCGTCTGAGGGCATAAAAGTTGACAAGGCAAAAATAGATCTGATTGAATTTTTGCGCGCTCCCAAGACCGTAAAGGATGTCCGATCATTCTTAGAACATGCAGGGTTTTACAGGAGATTCATAAAAGACTTCAGTACCATAGCTAAACCCATGTGTCATCTCCTGAGTCAGGACATAATTTTTGTATGGAGTGAAGCATGCCAGAAAGCTTTTGACAAGCTTAAAGGTATATTAATTTCTACCCCAATAATGCAACTAACTGACTAGACTCTGCCATTTGAACTAATGTGTAATGCAAGTGATTATGTTGTAGGTGCTGTGTTGGGATAAAGAAAATATAAGAAACCACATGTGATTTACTAAGCAAGCAAAACTTTGTATGATGCTCAAATGAATAATTCAACGACTGAAAAAAGAATTGCGTGCTGTAGTTTTTGCTTTGGAGAAATTTCGTTCTTATCTTGTTGGTTCTTCTGTTACTATGTTCACTAACCATGCAGTGTTAAAATTTTTGCTCACAAAAAAGGATGCCAAGCCAAGGCTCTTAAGATGGATACTCTTACTCCAAGAGTTTGATATGATCATTAAGGACAATAAGGGTGTTGAGAATGTGGTGGTACATCATCTGTCCAGATTAACGTATGAGTTTCATGAGGATGGATTTCCAATCAATGAGAAATTCCCTAATGAACAACTGTTTATGATTGATGAGACACCATGGTACGTTGATATTGCTAACTTCCTTGCTGCTGGTAAGCACCCTCTATCCTTTACCATGATGGACAAAATTTTTTTTTTGAGGAAGGTTCGTAACTTCTTTTGGGAGGATCCGTTCATGTTTAAGTACTGTAAGGATCAAATCATAAGGCGTTGCATCCCTACTCATGAGAGCAGACATGTAATATCATTTTGTCATTCTAAAGCATGTGGTGGCCATTTCTCATCAAGAAAAATCGTAGACTATGTGTCCTTTGGCTTTCTATACATTTTGGTAGCCATAGACTATGTGTCTAAATGGGTTGAAGCAATTCCATGCCGGAATAACGATCACCAAACGGTGATCAAATTTTTAAAAGAAAATATTTTATTCCGGTTTAGAATTCTAAAATCAATCATAAGTGATGGGGGTTCTCATTTTTGCAATCGTCCTTTTTGAAACTCAATGAAAAAATACTTGATTTTTCACAAAATTGCAACCCCTTATCATCCACAGACTAGTGGATTGGCTGAATTGGCTAATCGAGAGATCAAACTAATTTTAGAAAAAATGGTAAACCCAGACCGCAAAGATTGGTCGCCAAGACGAACTGATGCACTCTGCGGATATTGCACTACTTTTAAAATAATTTTGGGCATGTCTCCTTATCGATTAGTCTATGGCAAGTCGTGTCACCTACTTGTGAAATTGGAACATAGGGCATACTAGGCCATTAAAGCAATGAACTTTGACCTAGACAAGACTGGACTTTCAAGAAATCTGCAGATAAATGAATTGGAGGAACTGAGAAATGAAGCATATGACAAAGCAATAATCGCAAAGGAAAAGATGAAAATCTTTCATGACAAAAATATAGTAAGGAAATCCTTTGCCTTTCCCAAAAAGTCCTGTTGTTCAATTCAAGGTTCCGCCTCTTTCCTAGCAAGTTGAGGTCAAGGTGGATTGGGCCCTACATCGTTAAAAGAGTATTTGAACAAGGAGCAATAGAAGTGGAAAACCCATCAGCGGTTGAAACCATTTTTGGAGGATTTTGTTAAAACTGTGGAAATCATTCTTTTAATGGATCCAAAATATTCCTCTGAGATTCGTGCCTGTCGACAGAAAAAGGGGTCGGGCCAGGTAGAACTTGACCAAATCCGATCCACGGGAACACCTTTATAAGGTCCCCACTCCCTTCCTTTTTTTCCACCCGCTACAACCCCTTTTCTTCTTTTTCTTCTTTGTTAGCTATTTTCTGCAAACACGACCCAGTCCCTAGTAGCCCTATGACCACATACTCCATAGACACAATCCTCTGTTGCATGCTTTGCATTTTGATTTTATATTTGTTTATGGGTGTTCTACTTCTCTTCGCACTCACAGACAAGGCTTACTAGCCTACCTAAAACCTAGATCTGTGTAGAGATGATTAATTTATGTATTTTGCTTGTAGGATTCGGCAGATGAATAGATCTCTACATTTCAACCTCATCTCCAAGCTCCATATACCAATAAATTTGAAACATTGGAGAAAATATTCAGTTTAGGTTCGGGGGTGAGAACTATAGTTCATATTTGTCGTTAAAATTTGTTGTTGTTATTGCCGTTTCTGATCATATAGTGTACCTTGCCTCGTATCTTGTATAAATTGATGATCATGTCTATGAGTCAACTTCAATCGTCTTTGTGATTGGCAGACGTTAAAGAACCAGATATTGAGTCTTAATTATTTTAAAAGCATGGATGTCAAACTTTTTTGGTTTATTTTGGGAGTTCTACACACCTTTCCATCTGATGTGCATGCTGTGATCTTGAGAAAAGCAAGACTGGTAAGAAAAAAAAAAGATCCGAGAAGAGCAAGCGAAATTCCTCTGTGGGATAAGTACTTTTGCTAAATGCTGTCGTGCCAAAAGGCTTGGTGCCTATAAACAGCATGGCAGAGTCTTTCATGAGAAAAGATATAATTGGTGCTCTGAACCAATTTTTGGTCGCGCACTCAATCAATTAGACTGGATAGTGAATGGGCAAAGTAAGGATTACCCTAAGACGCCATGCTATTCTGGTACTTTGCTTAACTGGTTTGTGAGACAGGAAATTGGGAGAGTCACTGGTTGTTCAAATGACACAGATTCAAAGGAAGAATCGGATTAGATAACTTTTTTTTTTCAAAAATATGAAAAATTGTGTTGTGGGGATAAAAGCCAAGGGTCTGAAATTTTGTAAAAGGTGTAAAAATATTTTTGTACAAATTCTTTTGATTGAAATAAAAATATGGGCCGAGTAAGGAATGTGCCAGAATACCAACCTAAGCATGGATAGGGACTTATCTTGAGACGCCATGAATTTTTAGATCAAATTTGTGTGTATAGATTTCCTTTAATGTGTACATGAATTCTCAAAATCTTCACCAAATAAACCACACAACAATCTCCCACAAGCATTTTAACAAGTTTAAACTTTACCCATGGAGAATGAATGAGCTTGGTACCTTATGTTGCAAAGCTTGATGTTACCCATGAAGAATGGAGAAATCCTTGGTGCTAGTTGAGAGGCAAGATTGTGGTGTACAGGAGTTTGGGAAATCCAAGATGATTCAATGGAATTATGGGTGAAGATGAGTTGGGATGAATAGGTTTTTAGAAGTTTGAAATTTTAGAAGAGTAGGAGTTGATCTTAGGAGCAGTCCATGAATGTGGTGCCAAAGTGGGTTTTTTAATGCTAATTTTCTCAGGAGTAGTCCATGAATGTGGCACTAAAGTGTTTTTTTTTTTTTTTTTAATTCTGATTTTTTAGGAGCAAGGGTAACTGTGTTGGGGACAAAGGCAGTTGCGCTTGGGTGCTGTTTTGGAAGGTTGGGTGCTTGTTTGGGCCACTAGGATAGCGTTGTAGGCATGTTGGCACGCATTGTTGCGCTGTGCTTGGTGTTGCAGCGCTAGCCAACCATTAGCTCAATGCAGCTGCGTTGGTTTGGGGGCGCTGGTTTTTCTGCTGTGGACTACAATCTGGGCAACAGGAGCACGCTGTTGCGCTGCCCATGGCGCTGTAGTGCTGGCTAGGCAATGTTTCAGCACTGGGGTGCTTGTTTGAGTGCTGCTGCATTGTTTTGATTGCTGAAGTTGGTGGGCTGTTCTTGGCTCATAGTAAAGCTTTGTGCATGCTCCAACTTTATTGTTCAATCCTTGGGACCTGCAAACAATTGACATACCAATTAAAATGCACTAACTAACTAATATCATTATTTCTCATAAAAAGATAAATTGAAATAAAATGTAATAAAACTTAAAAAATAAAATTTGGGTTGCCTCCCAACTAGCGCTTGTTTTATAGTCTTCGGCCTGACTACTTCCTGTGTCAGTTCGGGTCAACAAGGGTGATGGTGGTCTTTTGATGATCAATGTCACCATTCCAATAGTGCTTCAATCTCTGCCCGTTCACCTTGAAATTTCTCCTCAAATTGGCTTCCTCGACTTCAACTACTCTATGCGGGAACACCTTCGTAATAATGAATGGCCCTGACCACCTTAATTTGAGTTTTCCTGAGAAGAGGTTTAACCGTGAATTGAAAAAGGAGTATAGCTTGTCCCAACTCAACCTTCCGCTCAATGATCTTCTTATTATGCCACTTTTTTACCTTCTCTTTATAAAGCTTGGCGTTCTAGTATGCTTGGAGACGGAATTCATCCATCTCATGCAACTGCAAGAGACGCTTTTCACCTATTGCATGCAAGTCAAAGTTAAGTTTTCGAATAGCCCAATATGCATTATCCTCTAATTCCACCACCAGATGACAAGCTTTGCCATATACAAGCTTATATGGTGACATCCCAATTGGGATTTTGTATGCTATTCGATAAGCCCACAAGGCATCATCTAGCTTCTTCGACTAGTCTTTTGGGTTGGGATTTACAATTTTCTCCAGAATTCGCTTCACCTCTCTATTCAAAACTTCAGCTTGGACACTTGTTAGGGAGTGATAAGCTGTGGCAATCTTATGGGTGACTCCATATTTAGCGAGAAGGGCAGTAAAATATTTATTGCAGAAGCACGTGCCTTCATTGCTAATGATCGCTCTTGGTGTACCAAACCTCATGAAGATGTTTTTTCAGAGGAAATTCATCACCACCTTTGCATCGTTGGTAGGCAAAGCAACTGCTTCAACCTACTTTGAGACGTAATCAATTGCAACTAATATGTAAAGGTTATTGTAAGATGATGGAAATGGGCCCATGAAGTCTATATCCCAGACGTCAAAGATCTCAACCTCCAAAATACTGTTTAAGGGCATCTCATGTCACTTTGAAATATTTCCAGTTCGTTGACACCTATCACACTTTAATGCAAAAAAATGGGCATCCTTGAAGAGAGTTGGCCAATAGAAACTTGATTGAAGGACTTTTGCTGTTGTTCTCTCTCCTCGATAATGTCCTCCATGACATGATGAGTGGCAATGCTGTAAGATTCCTTCAATTTCTTTCCTGGGTACACATCTTCTTAACATCTGATCTACACATTGTTTGAATATGAATGGTTCATCCCAGATGCAATGCTTCACCTCGCGCAAAAACTTCTTCCTTTGTCAGTTGCTCATTTCAGGGGAAACACATGATTCACTATATAGTTCACATAATTCGCATACCATGGTGCTCCCTCTATGACATAGAATAGTGGCTCATCCATAAAGGATTCATTGATCATTACACCATCACCCTTTTGCTGTACCATTTTCTCAAGTCTGGAGAGATGATCCGCCACTTGATTTTCTGCCCTATTTTTATCCCAAATCTCTAGATGAAACTCTTGAAGCAAAAAGACCCATCGAATCAAGCGTGGCTTGGCATCCTTTTTTGAGATCAAATACTTAATGGCAGAATGATCTGAGAACACTATCACCTTTGTACTAATAAGATAAGATCAAAATTTGTCGAAAGCAAAAACAACTGCTAATAATTCTTTTTCAGTGGTTGTTTAATTGAGTCGTGCATCTGATAACATTTTGCTGGCATAATAGATGGCATGAAACATTTTTTCTTTACGTAGGCCTAAAAATGCGCCAATCGCAAAGTTGCTAGCATTGCACATTGGCTTAAATGACAAATCCCAATTTGGTGCAACTATCATGGGGGCGGTTATGAGCTTCTTTTTCAACAACTCGAAGGCCTCTATGCATGCTTTATCAAAATTAAAAAGTACGTCTTTCTCTAAAAGGTTGCACAGAGGCTTTGTGATCTTGGAAAAGTCTTTTATAAATCGTCTCTAAAATCTTGCATGTCTCAAAAAACTCCAAATTCCCTTGACTAATGTTGGTGGTGGTAGATTTTCAATAGTCTCTATTTTTGCCCTGTCCACCTCTATCCCAATAGCAGAAACTTTTTGCCCCAAAATAATGCCTTCTTGAACCATGAAATGACACTTTTCCCAGTTTAACACCAAGTTTGTTTCCACTCATCTTTTCAGCACAAGAGTTAGGTTCTCTAAACATAGGTTAAAGCTATCTCTAAACACCAAAAAATCGTCCATAAATACCTCAAGATTTTGTGCAACCATTTCATAGAATATTGCCATCATGCATCATTGAAATGTTGCAAGTGCATTGCGTAATCCAAAAGGTATACTCTGAAATGCAAAGGTTCCATAGGGGCAGGTAAACGTAGTCTTCTCCTGATCCTCAGGTGCTATTGCGATCTAATTATAGCTAGAATAACCATCCAAGAGACAATAGAATTCATGCTCAGCCAATTAGTTAAGCATCTAATTAATGAATGGTAGAGGGAAGTGATCTTTGCGAGTTTTCTTATTGAGTTTGCGATAATCCATACATACTCGCCACCCAGTCGCTGTTTGTGGTATTTTCTTCTTCATCACCTCCTTCATTATAGGATTTAATCAGTTTTGTTGCTCAATCACGGGCTTAGCATCATCTTCAAGCAGAATTTTGTACATACAAATTGATGGACTAATACCCTTAATATCTACAATAGACCATCCTAAAGCTATTTTGTAATCACGAAGGACTCGCAACAGCTTGCTTTCCTAGAATTCATCAAGTGCAATAGGTAAAGTAAAAGGGTCACTCAAATACGCATACCAAAGATGATTTGGAAGAGGTTTAAGCTCCAATAAAGGTGGTTCTTCCAAAGATGACTTTGCACGAGTAGAGCTTCCCGAATGATCCAAAGTCTCAAACTGTTGCCTGAACTTTACAACCTGTGGAGGAGAATTCAACCACTATACATACTCTAGAGGACTAGGGAAGTCCGAAGTTGTGGAACTAACAAGTGATGTCTCAATGGGATCTAAAATACAGTTTCCTACGAATATCTCATTTACTACATCTTCCACCAAATTAACCCGAAAACATTCTTTCGCTTCCTTAGGAAATTTCATAGCTGGAAATACATTAAATGTCACCTCTTGATCTTGGACTCACATAGTTAGCTCACCTTTATGTACATCGATAAGTGTTCTCCCCATTGCTGAGAATAGTTGACCAATAATAATAGGTATTTCCCTATCTTCCTCACAATCTAAGACTATGAAATCAGCTGAAAAAAATGAACTTATCCACTTTAACTAGAACATCCTCAACTATGCCTCTTGGATAAGTGAGTGATCTATCCACGAGCTGCAATGTAATGTTAGTAGGCTTTGCTTCATTCAAACCCAATTGCTGATAAATTGAGAGCGACATTAAGTTAATAATAGCTCCCAAGTTACACAATACTTTTTCTGAAAAATTGGCTGCCTATTGTGCATGGAATTGTAAAGCTACACGGATCTTTGAGCTTTGGTGGTAGCTTCTTTTGAAGAATAGCACTGCACTCCTCTGTAATTGCCATTATCTCAAAATCAGCTAATTTTCTCTTCCTTGATAGAATTTCCTTCATAAATTTCACATAGCTAGGCATTTGCTCCAATGCTTCTGTGAAAGGGATATTAATTTTGAGCTTCTTGAACACTTCCAAAAAAATTTGAGAATTATTTATCCAACTTCTGTTTCTGCAGATGTTGTGAAAATAGCACAGGAGGCACAATAGGACTCTGTTTGCCTCTATTAGAACTTACAACTGGATATTCTTCCTTCTTTTCATGTTGCATATTCTTGCTATCTTTTTCTTCACCCTTAATATCATCTTCAAGTGATTGTTGTGATGGTAACCCTTTTTCGTTTCGTAAGGTAATAGCCTTGCAGTGCTCCTTACCTTTTCTCTTAGGATTGATCTCTGTATCACTAGGTAAAGTGCCTTGAGGTGGGTTGTTAATGGCATTAGCAAGCTGACCTATTTGATTTTCCAGATTTTGAGTTGATACTTCTTGACTGTTCATCCTTGTCTCATTCTGTGCTTTGTACCTAGAAAGCAGGTCCTCCAAATTCGACTTCTTTTCTTGCTGTGGTGGAGATTGATTCTGAAAGCCTGATAGGTATGATTGTCTTGGAGCAGACAGTTGGACTTGATTATTATTCCAAGAAAATCCCAGATGATTTCTCCACCTAGGGTTATAATTGTTGGAATTAGTGCTATATTGCTGCCTGTTGTGGTTGTCAATGTATTGTACCAACTCTGGATTGATTGCACATTGATCACTCGGATGGTTCCCTGCACACAATTCACAAACAACTACCACACTCTAAATAGGCTTCACCCCTAGAGCATCAACCTTCTTTGACAACGTAGCAACCTATGCAGCCAATGTAGTAATTGCATCGACTTCATAAATCCTTGCTACCTTTTGGCTAACTAATCCTTTGATCCTTGTAGAGGTCCACTGATAATTGTTGGCAGCCATCGTCTCCAATAACTCGAAAGCTTCATCAAATTTTTTTTCCATTAATGCCCCACTTGCAGTTGCATCGATACTGGTCCGAGTAGCACTAAACAACCCATTTTAGAACATTTGAACTTGCAATCACTTAGGAATATCATGGTGAGGGCATTTTTAGAGTAAGTCCTTGAATTGTTCCCAAGCTTCATAAAGAGTCTTAGAATCATGTTGTGCAAATGAAGTGATGTCGTTCCTTATCCTTGCAGTTTTGGCTAATGGAAAGAATTTAGCTAAGAATGTTTAAGCTAAATCTGTCCACGTTGTAATAGAACCTGACGACAATAAATGCAACCAACTCTCTGTCTTATCATGAAGTGTGAAAAGAAAAAGTCAAAGTCTAATCACATCTTCAGAAACTCCATTGT